TTATTTCAAATTTTGCCAAAAAAAAAAAAAAAAAAAAAAGAATTGCTTCCAAATAACAAGCGAGAGTAATTTTGCGTTTCTAAAGCACGCAAATCCCATACCAACGACATAAATCATGCGGGAAGATACGTGTGGGTTCAAGGCTTGTGATTTGTACGCGTATTATGCACATTTTAAAGCAATTAGAATTCATCGCATGCAGATTACCATAGAAAACAAGCGTACAATGTGCCGTATTATACCGTATTCTGCACCATCATACGATTCCATCTTTGTGTCTTACTGCTACACGTTCAATTTTAACAGTATTATTCCACGTGATTCATAACGCAGAGAATAGGGATTATGTTTAATAGGGATAATTTGTATCTCGCCAAGAGTTGCAGTTTGAACGTAAAAGTCGAAAGGGAATATGGAAAATTCAATTTACAAGTATAACGAGGAGCAGTTAAATAGTCGTTTGCAGTATTTTAGAACAGGAACTTGGCCATTATTCTAACAAAATGGAACATGTTTGTATGAATTACAAATGACCGACGAAGTTTCATTTCGTATTGTTTCCCATGGAAATATCAAAAACGTTAACAACTCATTCGTAATGGTGTATTGAAAGAAATTCATTGCAAAAACCATAATACGCTTGGTCGATTAATTATTCATACTGTGTGTAAATGATTAATACCGGATAAGGACTAATTTCATATTAATCGACTGAAACGATACCTTTGTAATGATATTTTGAAGCTAAGTTGATTGCCACATTTCTGTGGTGAAACACGTTGTTCCCACTGTTCGATATGTCACTCGTATTATTGTGAATATTATGCAGAGCACGTTGTGGTAGCAATAACCACAGATTGTAGGTTAAACTAATTTGTAACAATATGCTGCAAATAAGCTAATTATAAATTCTCCATTTCTATATTTGTTACGTTCATACTGTATGGATATTTCAAATAACAGTGTTGTAATAATAAATACAGCGTTACGCATGCTTTAACACTTTCACCGCTTTTGGCGCCTATAGGCGTTTTGAATATTTCCCGCGCTGCGCCCCCTTGGCGCCTATAGGCGTTCTGAATATTTTCTCGCGCTGCGCCCTTGGCGCCTATAGTCGTTTTGAATATTTTCTCGCGCTGTGCCTGTTGCACCTTTTTCTTCTTGAATGCATTAAACCAAGAATACGCGATCCTTAAATGAAATAAATGACGTTTCATAATGAAAAAGCATCAACCTAATCCCTTTATTATTAACCGAAATACATCACTAGAAGGGCAAGCTTACATATAAATGTCCAAATATTTTTGGGAGTAACTGTAGCAAACAATATTACACGAAACTTTTACCTACACCTTAAATGAACTTCAATAATCGTTTACGTGTGCAATTTCTTTTGCTTGTTTTAAATGCTATCTTTCGTAGTATTTTACTGTTTAGTCCCAATGAATCGCGAAGTGTTACAAAAGCTACAAATGAAAAAGAACGATGCACCTAAATGCATTTCACGGCAATTGACATAACCGTTATGTATACTGCTTGCGTAATTGCGTTTAACCTCAGCAATATTGATGCCATGTGACCCCATTAACAGCCGCTTTGTTTCAATGAAAGAGCTGAGCTTGCAATCCAAACATCTTGATTGCACCGCGTTGACGAAGCAACGGTCTCGATTGCAGACGTTGAGTCGATTTTATAATTCGCTGAAATTGATACTCGAAACGCGTTGTTTACCGGTGATACTTTGAGATCATTTACGTTCTTTGAAACGATGCAGTTTGCACTCTGAAGTGTTTATCTGCTACTTGTTCGAGTGATTGTAAAAGTGATCGATGAAAGTGTGCACAGAGGTATTAGAAAAGTATTGAATATGAAACGAAACGGTAAAACGATTATGAAAATAGAGTGCAAGAAAAGAATGGATAAAGTATAGAAGCAAAAATTAAAATTATCAAAAAAGAATGGACAAAGTGTAAAGTTTGAACAAAATTGATGGACAATCAGCAAAGATTAATGTTCAAAATAAAGACGTCGTTATTATCCAGAAATTTTCAACGATGCAAGTAGGTTGAAGCCATAAACTAACGTCCTACTTAGCATTAATTTTACAAGTGGGGAACCGCGCATTTTTGTTTCGTTTTACGTAGCTATTCTTAAAACTCGCATAAATCTGAATCACGAGCAATTACCTTGGCAATTATAATCGTATCTTTTACTTCGTTTGATATTGTTGCTAATAATGGTACTACTGGCTAGATTACAATTAATGAGAAACAAAAGAATGAGAATACCTCTCGAGTTTCTTTTCTATACCGAGAAGTCTATAATAATTCACAGGACAGTGGTTTTCTCGACTCCTCGTATTCAATTCCCCTCCTATTTTCTCCAAAGCTTTCAACTAAACATTGCTTGGCAAGGTGCCCGATAATACCTACTCTTCGTGCTCGCCGGTGGTAAAAGTCTATCGTGCATGTTTTATGTAAATTTCACCGCAAAATTTGCTTCGAGCGAGAACACCAAAAACTACGAGTGAAAAATGTTGTCACTTTTATGTGTAACCGTTATAATTTTCCTTTTCCCAGATATTTCCCAGATTCTACTTTGATGAGAACGTCGATATTCCAAGCCTCGGTTTAATTAATACTTACAATAGTAATTAATTATTTAACGTTGTTCACAGTTAATAATAATCATTTAGCGGAGTGAAAATCGTGTTACATAGTGAAAGCGCGAAACATCGTTTTACGAGTATTTAATGATCGATAAAAAGAACTGGACAATGTATGCTAATGCAGCAAGTATGGTTTTTTTAGCTGGACGAAGTTATTTATAATACGTCGATAAAACAGAGAACTGTGTGTTTCGTGAATTTTTTTCCACCTCGTTACTAAATTTGCCTGATTGCTGAAAGCTTCGAATTCAATTTTTGGCCTCTTAATCTCCGGTTTTATGAAGTGTGCACCTGAATAATAACGAGCATACTAAAAACCTTAATCACCCTTGTACCTCAGAAACTGCTTTCTACGTATTAGCGGCGGTCGAGTGGGCTAAGAAAAAGGCAATTAAGAAGACATCGATGGCCGTGTTGTTATACCCGGAGTAAAAAGTAGCCGATATGATAATAAATTATTTTCATAGGACAATTTATGAAGCAATGTCGACGAAGAGATTGATTCTCCGATGTATTATAAGTTACGATGGAAGATTCGTTACATTCTAATCCGATTAAATTATCATTGTACCCGATTCGGTTACACAAGGGACGCGAATTCGTGTCCGGGATCTTCAGACTAAACAGAACAAACGTTGCAACGAAATATACACCGGGTGTCCCAATTCATTCCGATTAAACTTCGTCACACTTACATACGTTACGTCGTTAGATAGTACGTTCTATCGGTATAAGTAAGGGAAAAATGTTACAAGCATAGGTCGTTTGAAGCTTTGTTAAAAAGTTGTAACAAAATAGTAACGAACTTGCGGTTGCTATGATACAAGACAAGAATGTCACTGGCAGAAGCTACATTCGACACTTTCAACGACTTCAGATCGCAAACACAGCTACGCATAAACAGACTACAGATGTGCGTATCGCTGATCTATTCGTATTTTCTCTATCGTAACCGTACACCCGTTATCGTTCTCTTCGTATTACTGCTATAACTCTTTAACGAAGCTTCAAACCGCCCAAGTTCATATAACGTTTTCTTCTTATCTGTGCCCATAGAACACACTGGCGAAGTTTGATCGGAAACAATTGAGACACCCGTTATATACGTACAACTGCTACCATGTAGTTCGATTATGGAAGCCGTAAAGTTGCGTCGGTGCAACCGCGATCGCAGAACACGAAATCAAATTTACATGCGTGCTAGATTTCGGGATGCAACGAGACCACCGAGCTGTTTCAGCTAATTGTCGTTACTGTTGACCCAATCAGGCTGCGTGTTCCACAATACACAGACGGAGATTTTCAGACACATGACACGTTCCCGTGTGTACCCTTTCATTTATCGACGAGGATCTTACATTTTAACAATCTCTCTCGCCGTTTCTTTCTCTTTCTTTCTCCTCTCTTCATCTCCTTCACGATTTACAA